ATCTGTAGAACAATTTATGGATACATACATATATATAAAGACAAAACGGTTTTCAATTTATTTCTAATTATTATTATTATAAAGACTATGTTGCTCATAAAGAATAATTCAACACTAAATGCTTTTATAGTAATAAGAACCTTTTCAAATTAGGTATACATTATATATCATAACACTGACTCCCTCGTTTTCCATTAATAAATAAGTTGCAAAGTTCACTAACACACTGTAATACTAATGCAGTTTTTGCCTGGCGGCCTGTTGTTTATCCGTACATAACATAAAGTTGTCATAGAGACTATTCATTGTCCACTGTATAGACTTCTGTAATAAATCCCCTACAAAGTCTGCTCCGTACAATATCCGGTAGTGAAGAAAAACACTCTATGAAATGAAATGAAGTTTTATATAAAGTTGTCAGGCTAAGCAGATTCAATAAACATCAAACAAAACGTAGCAACAGGTAAAACTGATGTACAAGTAAGGTACTAAAATTATGTTTCTAGCTTCTATATACGACTTAATCTATGTAATAATATTTAACTGAGATAAAGGACATAATAATTCTAATTAATTTGGAGCAATAAAGACTATATAAATAAATAAATATTTAAATTATCATTTTAAAATACAGTCTAATTTAAGACTCTGATTACGACAAACTAATATTGTCATACTTTTGGTTTGGTAAGTCTAAATCAGGGTGATTTAGACTTAAAGACTTGCAAACGTAAAAAACAAATAAATTCAATTTCACGATTACAATGTTTCCTAATATAGTTTCAGAATTCATTAATTTCATATTTATTTACGTACGAGTATTGTGCATTATTAGTTGTTTTTAATAATGCTCGACTTCAAGTTTTTTTCAAGTCGTTTAGAATGATTTTGTAAGATTTAATTCCTTATTCTCAATCCTATCATCCTAAGTAGAAATTGATCTTAATATCTTAATAATTTTAGAAATTTAATTATAAAGTCAAACATCGGAAATTAGTTTTTTTCTTAAGGTTGACTTTCAATTTGCTTCCCGGAAGCGATTTTTTACATTGGCTAAATTAAAACTGAAGTTAACCCAAAACCTTTCAAAAGGTTCTTCAGTATCGAGTGCGAAAATGAATCATATTGTTAATAGTAAAGTAAAATTAATGATAATTAATTTTATAATCAAATAAATACTACTTAGTGGGGGGCATCCATAAATTAGGTCATTAAGTTTATTTCGTAACGTCATATTTCAAAAGTATGCAAAGCAAATACAAGCAAGTTGAAAACTATGTAATAACACGAGACAAGGGGAGTCTCACAAATGTGAAATGACTAGCTATGAAAACAATGGGGGAAGGGTATATATATCACGAAAATCGTGTGAAAGACGAAATCAGCAGCCGTGGAATAATTTGGACTAAGTCGTTATAATAAAGATTTTTGTTTTAGAAGATAATGCAGGAAACTTGTAAAAACCATTATGGCTGTTATTATCTATAATATATAAAGCGTATATATACGTATTATATATACATATGTATAATTAATATATCGAAAATTTACGATACGATTTAGAGTAAGTAATTACTAGTTCATAATTTAGTATAGAATGATTAGGATTATGTAATATATTCTTATCTGTGGTACTAGTAAATCATGCGCAATTTATATGACTGTAATTTCATCTGGAATAGTCAGAGACATTATCAGTTGTTGACGAAACTTGACATATCTACATTTCACCTAATTAATTTGAACTTAATGTGATGAACATAAGTCTCTAAGATCATCATCGTAATTTAACTTGATGTACATATTTTTTGGTGTAAATAGTATTTACTGTCTATAACTTCAGTTAGTAAAAGAATAGGCTGTCAATTACCAAAAGACTGTCAAAAATATCTCAGCATATAGATGCTGAGAAAATATATGCGTCAGTAGACGGTAACATTAACCCCAGTAAGTGTTATCCGTAATCCTCGAACACCTCAGTCCGACCGTCCGGGCGGGCGGCCGCCCCAAATTACGGCTATTACTTTTTTTATATCTGAGTAATGCCGACACCGCGCCGGTTTGCAATAACAAAAATATTACGACTCTTATTATTCTTTTACACTCCCCAGTTACAATTACATGGCATTATTCGAGGATTCCTCGATATAAAAACCGGCAAATTGCGATACCTACTCACACTGACGGTTACGGACGAAACAAAGTCATATCCAACTAAGTAGGATATCAAGTTGTATGCCTGCAGGAAATAGATTGAGATTAAAATTGTCTTGGTTTCGACTAAATGTAGCTATACTATAGAATTCTTACTACTTAGTAATAATTTATTTTTCAAAACAGAATCGTTTCCAAAATTTTGTGATAAGTACACTTAGATTTTTTAAAATTAAGTGTCAAATTTGGTATACTATGTGTACTACTATATATATAATAAAGTGGTGGCATTTTTAAAATAAAAACATGGCAATTACAACTAATAGTGTCTACTACTATTTGAAATGTAAGCATTAGTATTTTCTGTAACGTGGGCGTAAAGAAGAGTAGAAGACAAAGTTGCACTATAAGTGTTTATTGTGTTTATAACCGTTAAACCTTTTCGGTTCGGGATCCTAAAAACGGATTTTGTGTAATTCTTTACGGAATATCGGTCGGTTGTTAGCGCAATTTTCCGGTCTATCTTGCTGTTGTTCAATACGGTTTAATGTCAGACATCATAATAACTAGTGACGTCATTCGCATCGGAGTGACGGCTTGCTTAATCTACGATGAATGTTACTACGAAAAAAACATAATAATAGGACATTTAACGCGATTTATTTAAGATATTACGCAATCTTATATTAATTTATTGATTCTGGATAGATTGAATTGGTTCACTGGATTTGTTTATAATCTTTAGTGTTGTTTGTTATAACATAGGTTCCGTAGTGAATCGAGAAGAAAATGTTGTGATCTTTTCTTTGCTTGTGTTTCTCTTTCATTTAACAACGGCTGGACAGATTGTTATTAACTGTAATTAACTACCGACACATTTCGTTTTCGATTGGGTGTTCAGTATAAGAGATGTAAGCCGTATAACTATGCGCATATATTTATGAATACAGATATCTATTAAGAAACCTTCCGTAAAAAAATCCATATAATAGCAAAAAGATGACTATTGTAAGGTTTCGAAAAGATAGCGGATCAACATACGACAACTGTGAATATCATTTTTGCTAGCTATAGATTAATCTAAACATGCGTCAACACATAGATATGTAGGTTACTGAAAGTTGAAATTATAAACCGTAAAAAGGTTAAATAGCTTTTTAAAAAAGGGCTACCTAAAAGCCTTCATTGTAAAATAGAAGTAGTCAACTCTATTTAATAATAGATGGTAAAATAATAATGCAACTCCTGTAGGCAGGCGGAAACTTTTCGCTTGGCGACAGTCGCAGTCACATTTGGTCTGTAATAATACTAAATTTAAACCACAGTATGATTACACACAGCATTTTAAAGGAGGCAAATTAGTACCTGCTCGTTAATACTGTCTTTTTATGTATATTTAATAACCTAATATACCCCCACCCTCGTATATTGAATAAAGTAATTGCGGATTGTACGAGCATACTAGCAATTTTGCAGTTTTAATTTATAATCAGGTAATAATGGCGAATAGGGGAAAGAGGGTTAAACTCCCTAACATTACATTATATTCTATTTATGCATTGTGGCCATAATAAGTAAGTAACAAATTATAACCTTACTACCGGTAGACTTCAAAAGACGAAAATCTATTTAAATTTCTAATGTAACTCTGTCTGTCTGTGAGTGACATTAGCGATAATAATACAAGAACAATTTGAAGTATATATCCGTTCATTTTTATTTATGTCGTTAAAACATCTATTTTATTTGTACAACTTATATTTTTGTCATGTACGTAAAATTATGTTATGAAAACTAAGTTGCAAAATATTTCATGGGAACGGCGCAGCTTTCTGAATGTGCACATATGTTCCGTGAATTTGTAGTTATAGCAGCATTCCAATTTTCTTACATATTCGGAAATGATATTGCAGTACGAGTCGCCATGAAATTCACCTTCGTTCACATAAACGGGTAAACTTTGCACCATCGCTCCAGTGATGTAGAATGTATTGGCAAATATGTAAATATTTGTGAGATGTGAGGTAAAATGCACGTCTCGCGTACTAGATCGAAAACGTTTTCGATAGATTGTTTGAGCGCAGCGTGTACAGAGTAACGAAAGAGCTAGAGGAGAATATGTTCAAAGACGTCTCCGTACTTCTGTCATCAGACTCTGCGGTTAGAAATTTGCTTTGCAATCTATTTTCCTGTTCAAAATTTTAGGTATGATAACAAAATTACACCCTTGCGTAAAAAGAATTTAGTCCTTAGTATAGAAATAGGCGCCTTACTTATAGATCAGCCGTCTTCTCGCACAAAGAAATGACTGACGTTTGATGTAAGTTTGTTTTAATCAGTATACCATAGATAAATGAATGATAGGTACATTAAACGTATGATATTTAGAACATTACCTCTTGTGTCTGGCTGACATCAAAAATATACCCGTCGCTAATAATTGACATGACAGTACTGCACTCAGTTCGAATCTATTACACACTGACAGCATAGTCTGCGCTGTTATGTTTCATATACAGCGTTATGTACTGAGTAGGTTGGCCACTCTCATAATGATTTTTTCAGGATTATAGAACGGAATGAATTAAATAAATATTTATATATAGGAAATTGAATATACATAGTGTGTAGAAAATACTTTTTAATCATTCTTTTAGATGCTCCTTGAATTAAAGCCATAGTTCTATGTACTGCGGTTAGTAATAAATATGAAAAGAACATAAATGTAACATGATATTCGCTGAAAATAGGGACAGATGGTATCCCGGCTGACATATGCGTCTGAAAACGAGGCCACCTGGCTAGTAGCGACTAGTAATGTAATGTAATTTGTATATAGTACTAACCTGACGTGTTCGTAGCGCTGAATGTAAATCTTATGGAACTGCTCCTGGCGCGGCTGGCTGGCAATGTCGGCCTTCATCTCCACGGCCACGTGGCGCGGCAGCACCGACAACAGCAGACGTTCCTGCCACCGACAAAAAACATTGTTATATATGAAAAAATATAATATTGTTATACAAAAAAAAAAGTCTCCATATTTAAGCCCACTCTGGCTTAAATATGAAAGAAATCTCTTCTAAATAATGTAAAGCTGATACATTAAAAGTAATTAGCTGGGAACGGCACCAGTTATAAAATTACATAACAAACCATATATACAGTACAATGAATCTAATAATATAACTAACATATTATTACATGATTAATTTTGTTTGTAATTGTTGTAATATATAAATTACCACTATACTAAATTGTTTAAAATAAGTATACAAGATTTTATTCTCTTTTTTAAAAGTTAAGTGTGAACGACTACCCACGAGAACTACAGCTAGGTTAATTAAGTAATATTGTAATCAACAGATGACAGACGCAATATACTGAAGCCGCCCGATTAATTAGAGATGTAATTAATTACTATTGGGTTCTCCCACCCTATTATTGTAGAATGTATCTACCAGAGATAGATGCACAATGTTATCAACTTACATCTAATCAGATATTGAATGCAGACTCAAATTGATTAGCTATTATATATATATGTATATATACTGTTTGCTAATGTTATATTAAAGATGTTTGAGAAAAAATATTATCGAGGGACTTTATCAGCACAATCCAAAAAACATTGATAGAATTTTGTTTATCTGCGAGTGTGTGCGCGGTAAATCTAGAACCACCTTATTTGGCTGAGATTGTGACTGATGTATTTCGATTATATTAACATAGCGTGTTTCTTTTTTTCTTTTACTCCTAAGAGTGGCAACATTACAGCGAGAATTAGGCTATCAATTAAAGGGGTTTCATGTTCAGGGATTGGTAGTTCCAGAAATTACCGTGTTCAGAGTATTCACCAGGTATACATACATATATCCGTAGAGAACAGATAGATGGGTTAGTATACGTATAACTACTGACCAATACGCTAGCATTAATAGTACGAGCCGAGAGGGCAAATGGATCACGTGATAAGAGGCTGCACAAATATCTCCAATTACGGTACTAATGTTCACACTGACGAGACAAAGACGGCACCCGAGCTAATCATGGCCACGAGCGCTCCCGTATTATGTGGACCGCTTATTGTGCCCCTAATGATTGGCATTAACACCTACACAAACGGACAAGGCAAAAAGATTTCCATTTAGCATTCATACACGAGTGTACGGTCAGTAAAGGGGATATTAAGCCGACATCCAGTTATAAAGTACTTCTGATTTCATTTATTATACAAAAACAATGTAAAATCAATTACTTAATTAATGAATTATTGAAAGACCGTGGGCGTTCGGAAGAAATAGTGTAATAAATATATGAAAAGAAAAGCAAATAAGAGAAGAATGACAGTACATAATATATTTCTATATAAAATAATCTTAATAATGTTATTACCGCGAAAGCATGTAAGTATGGATGTTTGTTACACTTTCACGCAAAATCTACTGAATGGATTATGATGAAACTTTACAGTAATATATCTTATGCATCAGAAAAACACATACTATATTTTATATTTAAATTTATACTTATTACTACCATTTATATTACTACCAGATATGCCTGCGGTTTCATCCGCAGGCATATCTGGTAGTTGATAAAAACATAAACATTATGCATACATACATATAAAAAGGAGCGTCATGCGGAAATACTTTATTTTTAAATATCGACTTTAAAATATTCGTGCATATTCTTTAGCTCGATGAGTACTAAATACTGGCTTGGAATATTCATTACGACTGACTGAGTCATCCACTTCTATCTTGCAGGGTTACCACCCTATCTCTCTCATCCCGACAGATTATCGGCTCTTTGAGCTAAGTGGCCGGTCCATTGCCACTTCAGCGAGCTAAACCTCTAGATTAAATCGCCGCGTTAGTTACGTTAACTAGTGCTTAATATGTTTAGCACATATTATGTAATCATTTGGAAATATTACAAACAGATTAATCGATTTTGAAACGTATTTCATTTACTTAGAAAATGTTCATAATTCTGAAAATTATGGTATATATTGGTAAAGGAAACTAAAAGGATTTTTTTTGCAAGGTATTGTCCCTATTGAAAATTGTTTGATTGATTTTGTAAATAGTTTCTGTTTAAAAATTGTTTTACCCTTTTAAAATGGTATGATAAATTTGGTAAATTGTTTAGTCACTTTTGAAAAGTATATAATAATTTTTGAGAACTGTTTATATAGATAATGATTACTTTTAAAAATAGTATAACTATTTTAAAATTATATATTAACTACTAAAAATGGTTTAGTTTCTTTACAAAATTGTTTCATTGCTATTGAATATGTACCGACAAGAGGAATTGCGAGACTTTGGCAAATGTTGTCAGCGCGAGTCATGTCAACATAACAAAGATGTATCAGATGTAGCGGCTGAATTGATGATTACTAAGGACGTTTATCCATCGTTTTGGTTGGTCGCATAAATCAATCAAGCGTCGAGACAAGACGAGGTATCTCAATAAATCCATCTAAAATGTTCGTGAATATTCCCTGAATGGGCCCTGATTGGCAGCGAACGAAGGTTTCAGTGGATTTAGGGATTTGTCTCACTACAAGTTCGCTTCGTTACGCACTAGTTATTCACGCGACATACGCTGAGTATTAATAAAGTCATTGGTCTGATTGATGGAAGATGGTCATTAAAGTCAGTAACAATTATGTTTTTTTATATTAGTTTGGTTGCTTGCCAGTTCTTATAATCTGAACTATCTAGCTAGACGGGACTGTAAGGATAGTAGTAGTAGGTAATAAAAATATGACATGCATAAGAGGCCAAAAGCTTTTGAGTTTGATATAGCATTTCATAAACAGTTTTCTGTGACCATTCGTTTATTATTCTTATGGTAAAAATATTCGATTTATAGATTGGAAATAATATATTCATAATACAAATATAAAATCAAAACAATGATAAAATGACCATCGAGAGAATTGAATTGTTCAAACAAAAATTATTAAATATGACTTTTTTGTGAATTATGTTTACTGTTTTACATCGCCGACCATTCACTTACATTGAAATTTAAAGGTAAGTAAATATATTACTATTAATAATACTACACTAAAACTTAATACTATGTATACTAATAATAAAATTATTTAAAAGAGCAACACGTAAGTTTCTTTCTCTTTCTTCTTGTGATGAGACAGCTTTCCGAATGAGCGGTAGATTAAAAAAATGTAATGACTATTCAAAAGTGCTTCAATGTAAGTTTATTTCAATAAATGATTTTCTATTCTATTCTCTTCTATTCTCCTAAATAGCAATACTACCGAGAACATGAACAAATATATATATACTTCTAACATTCAAGTAGCGAACAAGTGCTGGTGCCAGTGGATTATCGCCCTATACACTCGGATTGGTAGCGACTTGATTCGTTCAGCTCGTTTTTCGTCGAAAAGAATTCGAGTTCGTTAAGTTGTACATTATTATAAGCATTTCAGTGTATCGAAACGGTTTTGGATGCTTTTCTCGAGACATAAATGTGAGGTAATTGTTACAAGGGATTTATACTAGCTGTTATATTTATTGCTTGTTGTGTTTATGTGTTTATACACATCTAAGCTGCAGGTATAGTGTTGGTAGTATTATACCTAGATATTTAAAGCCACTACTTTATCTTACCCTTTAACTGATCTATATTTTACAAAGAAAGTTGCTTTGAGACTGAAATAGGTGACATTCTGAGACGGCTTTGTACAAATATAGTTAAAACATTTACGTTTGTAAGCTGTTATTTGTAGATTCATACATTACTCTGGTCTGATACGTTTCACCAAAGCTACACAAGATTGGAAAACTACAATATGAATAAACGGTTGAACAAGCAATAGCATGAAAATAATAATGTTAATAAATATATATCTAATATTGTCTAACATTAATAATAATTGCGCAACGCCAGTGACAGTAGGGGCGGCAGGATGCGACGGTCGCTACCGGTGATGTCGACGGCGCTCGTTTTTCGCCCCGATGAGCTTAACTAATAATTACGAGCCTTATATATCGCTATCAATATTTATACATACTCAAGTACTCCTCATTGATATTATGATATATATTTTTTAATTTTGTTCAAAGTTTTATATTCAAATAATTGTTCAAGATACGGAATATTTATTATGAATATTTAACTTCAATATACTTAATGGCTTTATAGTATTTTGGTTAATTACGCTACCAGTAGCATGTCATTGCATCGTAGATTTATAAATGTATTTCTTAGGTGGATAAATAGTCGGTCTAAGTTGTTAAATCACAGAATAGATGTGTAAGTTTTTCAGACTACACTAATGCTGTTGACCGTAACTGGCCTGTACAGCTTCACCGGATTGAAGAGAGCAAGTGGAGAGTGCAGTTTGTGCACTCCAAACCCGCAGAAAGACGTACGGAGCAGCTGAAAGCTAACTCTCGCCTGATGGATACGACTTTACACCGAGGGCACCGTTAAAATTCAAGTTCACGCCGATGTGTCATCGTAATTTCGATCCCCGTTTGAATTAAATAAAAGAGGGTCAGAACGGAGGCAGCCGAACAAAATGCAGATGTCGATTCTTTATACCATCAATATAGAACATAGCGTTACAATTCTGCATGTGTATGGCACACGCTGGGTATTGGTAGTACGCACCTGTTGTTGGTTCTCCCGCTGGGTGACCAGGCGAGCCTCGACACAGTCGCGCGTTTCCAGGAAAGCGCGCCGCTGCGCCAGCTCACGGGGATTGTGAGTCAGAACGCCGGAGACGTTGCATGCGAGCAAGGTAACAATGCTGCAGTAGATCTATATAGAAACACAATATATCAATACAATTTTAAAGCAAACCATGATGTTACCAGTTTTGGAGCAATATATAAAAGTAAGTAAATATGTGAATAATATTCAGAAAGAAATTTTGATTTAAGTTAAAGGGTAAGGTATGAAATTATTAAAAAAAAATTGAAGACGCCCTTTCATTAACTTGTTAACTTTTCCAAAATTAATATGTGCTAATACAGACGCTTATTTAATAAATACATATTTTTAAAATACTTTAATATATTAGGTCGTGTAAATATTTCCATTGCAAATCAGAATCAGGTCAAATAGATTTTTTCGATATGAATTATTAATAGTAATGTTATTTCTAGCTATTCATATTGCATGTATAAATAAAAATGTTCGAGAATGAACAAATACTTGTTACCGTTAAAAACATTTACCATATAACATATAAATTCAATCTATTACTAACAATTTTATATCTACTTCTTATTTTTATTTTGAACTTTCTAAATACTAGAGCAGATGCTCTAGTATTTATTATTTATATATTAGATAATATCTACGATCCGAACACAAAATGTTATTTGAATAAGATGACATCAAATACGTCTCAAACATATTCGATTATAATCGAAAATCCGATGATCTCATTAAATTTATAAATGTGATTTTTTTATATTATCAATATATTTTTTTACTAATAAATTATTATACAATATTGTCTACAGATATTTAAAACAATTAATTATCAATATTGAAGTTTGCGTAAATATTATAGAAGCTTGAGACATTGATATTGATCGTTCTCGTAAAGTAATATTCCAGATTACCAGAATAATTAAATTTTATTAATGTAATATTATACAATATTGCCCGCACATGTTTCTATCACATTAAAACAATTAATCATCAATATCAATTGAAAATGATGTAAATATTACAGCGTATTTTAATAATGTAATAATACATCCATTATCTGTTCAACTTACTTGTAGGTCAGATGTTCGGCCGAGTACGAAGTGAGCGAAGATGATATTGAGGGTGGCGAGAATCACGCCGGCCAGCGTAGCCTCATGGAGGCGTACCGGCAGTGTCGCGTACGTCAAATAGGTGAACAGCGCACATGCACCGCCGCTTACGCTCAGGGATCTGACAGAAAAGGCAATGAGTTACCATACCATATAAATATCATATTCCACTGTTGGGAGTGGGCCTTTGCCGTTATGGAAGGTACTAGCCCACTACTAATGTTGGCTAGGCTATGGCCAAGCCTACAGCCTAGTACCTTATGAGGTACAAGTATATTATTATTGAAAGTAGAGTTTCTTCTTTCAACTTACAACAACAAAAGCTTAGACATATACGAGCACTGTTGAAGGTGGGCGTTATGGAAGGTACTGGTTTACTACAGTCATAGTACCTAGGCGGTAAGTTGTACTGTTTAAAATAGAGTTTTTTCTCATGCTTAGATATATATGAGGTGCCGTATCGTTATGGTAGAATATCATGGTTTATTGGGGAGTGTCAGTTTTATTTTCACGTGTATACTAGCATCCAACTCTATAAGGCGGACCCCGTCTTCAAAATGAGTTTTGACTATAAAAGTTATCAAAGTATAATAACGAAGTTAATTAAATTGGGTAATAAAATCTATTATCGCTCTGAGTGTAGTTAATTGAGGAAATAAACTTTTGTAAATATACTCAGGTGTATCGGAAATAATTTGTTTGCCGGTTCAGGTCCAGAGAGAACGGTCTACGTTAAAATCAGAGAAATGCTAATAATAAACTAGTTTGCAAATTTACTACAATGTGTTGGAATAGATATTTATCGCGATTCGTCGGCGCGGAATTCTATATCTGCCGTTTCCATTTCAATTTTGTGCAAAATATTCACATTCGATACATATTGAGGTTCCTTGTCTAAAATTTCACGCTTCTAAATAACATTTAGGTAAAGCCCAATTATTATTTAGAAGTCTATTACTGTTATTGTATTTGTTAGCCACATTCAGATCATTCTCAGATGAGTAGTCACTTTTTCGATATATAAGTTTTATGATCATTTTACTGCAGGATTATTATGGAACGGTAGTCGATGGTTTACTAACCCGACTACAACCCAACAATGGTGATTTGAATGACTGGTGGACTGGTTTATGGAGATTTTTTACTTTACGTAGGTTTCAAATAAACCATTAGCAAGTCTTTAGGTCAAAACGACGTCTAATTAGAAGGCTCTAATTCCCGTGGGTATGTAAGTTACTAAATTTTAAAACCGGTATAGAAAATGGTGTTCCTATAATAAATTATCAATATAAAATTTCTAATATTAAATAATACATTTTATATTCAGCATTGCCTTGTCTTTATCCCATTATTTGAGGTCGGCATCGTATGTTCTCTTCTTCCACTGATCTTTATCAGGCGTCATATAAGTTTACTCTCCTTTTATAGATATCATCTTTCACACAATCCTTTTTTTGTTGGTCGTCCTCTCATTTTCCATCATCTACAATCATGTTAAATGCTTTCTTTATACATGGTTCTCGCTCCTACGCATTACATGCATATACGAAGCCATTATGTTACCTCACAAATTCTCTCTCAAAATAACTAGCACAACCAATAACAATATACCTTTTATTATTATTATAATTCAGATAATGCTTAAAAGTCCAGCCAAGTCCCTGCAAAATTGTGTGGTCAATTGTCTTTGTCGAATCAATTTAATTCTCTTTTTGTGTGATTCGAGTATCATGTATTATTCTGGTAACCAGATATCACAAATAAAATTGTCTGGTCTTTAAAAGCAAGAAAAATAACAATTGTATGTTGGTAAAGAAGGATTTAAACGTGATTCCGTGCAACCTTTGATATCCTTTGTCGCTTCACACGGTATAAAACCTCTGTAATAGTGTTCACCGCCGTGCTGTCATAACAATGTGGAGCACTAAAAAGAATGCCAGACGATGTGATAAATCCAGTTTTAAAGCCCCTACGATCGAATTGACATCAAAACTGTTCGCACTAGCGCGTGAACACGACTTGAAAGCTCCTAGGATTTTAGACAGGGCCTTTGATGCTTAGAGTGTTAAGGGGATTGTTATATCGTTCATATTTTTGAGAGTAGTATGGTCGATTAGTTTATCATCGCAACTTATTACGCCCTAACGTTTGTGAGTTCGTTCATACTAAAATATCTTTAGGTCGTTCGCGCGACAGGAGACGAGCCTCCGAATGTTCTAGACTTTCGGAGGCTCGTCTCCTGTCGCGCCTAAATAAATATATTACCTTGACCTCATTTGGGTCTTGAAGGCATGCTTTGTATAACATAATGGATTCATAAATATGATGTCATATTTGAAAATATATATTTTAAATGGATATAAAACTAAGAAATATTACAAATGAGACAAAACGAGATGAATATGACATACGTATGATGTAACATATGTTAGTATCATAATATATATATATAGACGGCCTCGGTGGTCTAGTGGTGTAGCGCACCGCCCTACTTCCGATGGTCGCGAGTTCGATTTCTCGCACGGCACAAACATTTATATTCATGAGTGTGATTGTTTCTATTGGTCTGAGTGGTTTCTACGCACAATATGTATGTATTCTTATCAAATATCTAGTGTTCATAATACAAGCTTTAGCTGGCTCATGTATAAACGAAATATTTCCTTTGGAAAGTTTACACCCTTTCCTGAGGAGATAAAAACAATCGGTCCTAAGAATATCCTTCAATTTTTGTCCCTGACGAGTCTAGGTAGCGAACTTTGAAATGGTCGAGCACAATAGATCTATGTAGCTCGCAATGGTATTATAGGTCCATGCACCTGACAATAGCCCAAACAAACCAATAAAAAAAAATACCCTACATAGTATATACGTACCTTGCAACGGAGGTACTGGCTATCAGAGACAACTCTACGGTCACGAAGGTAACCAGCACTACGTACGAGATGGACAGCAGGTAGATCTCATTCATGGCCGGTCGGCTCAAGCACGCCAGCAGACCTATACAAATACATCGTTACATATGAACACAAGAACTTCAACATTAAACAAATTAAATGACAAGCGTGCAACGTGCATATATTGATGTTCATGTATATTATTTTTTAAATTGTACTCAATAAATTGTCTTTAATAAGTTAGTTTCAAATTGTCGCATATCGAATCAACTCAGCGGCAGTGTTAAAAAGTAATATAAAAATGGTCGTGCTTCTGAGTTGTAAGTTTATAATAGCATTAATTCGTGCAAACCGCTGATGAAAGTGCACGTAGCACTAGCGGGCCTATTTGACTCGGCGAGTTATGCAAAATGAATCCAATTATAACTCGTATAAAGCGGACTTTTAACCGCAATTCTACGGGCACTTAAACCATTGCTATTTTATGTGTATATTTGCTGCCGCTGGTTTTGCAACGTCGTTAACTAACGAGTATAACTAGCCAGAAACTCCGACAGTTAGTTTTTTCACAGTTTACTCAATTTACAGTCAAATTAAAATTCTGAAGACCTCTATGATATAGCAGAGCAGCATGCTTTACATTCGTATAGTCCAGGCCTTGATCTCTATATAATACAAACAATTGAACATTGTGTATGTACTTATACAAAAATATTAGTATATGATGTTGTACTCACAGTACAAGTTCCACTTAGGCAGAGCTAGATGCCGTTGTGTGACTTGTAAATAGGTATTTGATGATGATGATGATGGTGGTGGTGAGGTTAAAATATATTTATTTAATTTATATATATCAAAAAAGAGAAAAATATTGTAACAGGTAAACTCCAAATACCTATTAAAAATGCTTGCCCTTATAGAATATTTCTTTTTCAGCGGATATATTGGGCAATTTTTTTTAATCAGTTGTATATGATTATTACCATACGAAGCCGGGGTAATTAGCCAGTATTTAATAAAGTAACTGTATTTGCAAGATATGTATAGTCTAAGTTATATAACACATGTAAATATTTTAAACTACGAAATGGAAAGAAAATAAATTAATGTCCAGTAATATTTCATGTAGAGTATGAAGATAAACATTGAAGTTGCGGAGGCTGCGTTTAATGAAGTTACACTTTGGGTACATTGCCATTAGTATGAGTACATTTCTCGAGAGCAATAAATTTAATTTTATGTTCTATGCAGGACTTTAGACGATGCAATGTCAATTTAAAACACATTGCAATAAAGTGCAATAATGTTTATGACCCAGAAGCTCATAAATATTACATTATAGTACGCATATGTATGTCTGTATAGTTTCTGCAAATATGAGTGAAATGGTAAAAAACCTGTGGCCTTTATTGCTTTAAAACTCTTTGATTTTTCATTGAGGATAAATTTTATATGATCTTATTGATGATATTGTCGTCTTTTTTGCTAATTTATAATAATAATTAAATTAAATCAGCTACCCTTGCTTCGCACGAGTGTAGTTATGAAACAAATGAGGCTATATCTTCTGAAATATTCATCTCTTTTTTAATAGGTGTTTCTTAACCCTTTGTCACAAGTAGGTATATTTTTTTTATTGTATTCCTTATACAAACCTTGTCCTGGTTGATGCAGGCGTTCTGAAATAAGGCTTTTACATACATTGGCAATAGATTTTTATTTAGATTACATGTTATCTTTATTAGCCAATGCCTAATGAATCACTACACTACTAGTAAGTATATATATATACAAATTCTTAACGTATTTTTGTAATCTATCTTAATTATATATATAGATATATATGTCACTTAATGTATTTCTTTTATGTTTTTTTTATTATTTTTTTGTTAATTCAGATATTAGCTCAGTGTTTACGTATATTTTACCTAACTATTATGATAGTCTTAAGTTATTTTTAGTGTAGAGTTAAATATAGAGAGGCTAGTCTGTAATACAAAAAAGAATATTATATAGTAAATAATTTGACCAGTTTAAAAAAAAATTACCTACAGGAATTTTCATATTTTTTGATAATTAACATGAAGTGAATTTTGCGTGGGAAGCTCCGAGGTGGTAATGCCAGATAAGAGGTGTTCCCCGCATATTTGTGAGAAAATTATGACAGTGGAGTGGAACATATTTTTGCGTATATATGTGGGAGGAAAACTTCAGGTCAGAGGCTATATATGTTTGTGACATTATCATGAGGCATAAAAGAATAAGAACTCTAGTCGTCTGTCTAAAACGTATAAAAAAACTAGAGACTTAAAAGTCATAAATGTCAGGATATAGATTTCTTTATAGCTCCACCTATAAAGAAAGGTGACCTGGGAAAGGTGGGAAAGAAAAAGGAAAGAGGAGAGAAAAAAGGACCTGAATTTATGGGATTTTTGAACAAAACTTAGGGCAATACCAATAGTCTGGCAACACTGCCACCGGAATAGCTATTACTATATAAAATAATGAAGTAAGATATTTACTAAAAGTGTATTTATCTAATCTATGGTACTGTAAAATGGGAATACTAACACGCATAGACAATTGCAGATAGTATAAGCAAGATGATATTGATGATGTACGCGATGCGCTCCCTCTCGTAGATCTCTCTCTGGTCGCTGGTGAACTCCAACAACGTAGTCTGGTCTGACAGCAACCTCAGTTGGGAAGTGGTGCCGAATAGGGGTCTGGATAGAAACATATATATTTCACTATTTATACGTATTGATTTTTAGGCCTCCACATATTTTTCTTGTTTGTTGGCATATATGTGTTATCCTGTTAAGTTACTTATTTTAGAGTTGCTTAATATACTCAATATTAAGTAACTTTAACTATAATAGTCGAAGTGAGTATGTTTATTTGTTAACTTCAAACAATTTATACCACTCAACCGAATATTATGAAGTATATTTTATGTCAAAAGTCAACATACTAAATAATATGCGTGTAAGTGGGCGAAGTTGCAGTTAAAACTACATAGTTTGTAATGTAGCTTTGATTATTAAACAATGTTCCTCGTATTAAACTAACTAAAAAAATATGAATATATAGATTTTTTGTACATGCATGCATTTGTATGTACTTATGTTTTTTTATTTCTCTCCGATTTCGGGTTTTTGATTATTCAACATATTCAAAATTATTAAAAGTTCTTTTGTATGTATTCTTGAGATACAACATGAATCGTTGAACATACGAATCCATCGCTGAAATAACACTATTGAAGCTTCTATTGGATTTCAAATGTGCACTGGTAATTTAATGGGAAACTGTGTGAACATTCCAGTTCAATAGAAAACAATACCTATTAATATATTGGAAAATATTTTCTATTTAAACTGACAGAGAGTGACGTAAAGAGGCTTCGGTAATGGTGCTTTATAGTTCAAGTTATCTATAAAAATATTCACATTCTTAACAATGAATATACCTTAATATAAATAAATGGTCTCAGACAGTGCTGTTTCAGAGGATTTTTTTTCAAATTCTGTCTTTCTAAGTATTCTGTATAGTCCTGTCGAAATTTATAGAGAGAGACTATAGCATAAGGTTTCATAAAGGAATATTAAGATATCTTTAAGACCACGAGTACATGACGCTATTAGCGTTTAATGCGGCTACGTAGCCTGTCCGTAGGCTACGGTAACCATTTATTTGGGTATGCTTGTTTGTTACCATTATGGTATAAAAACATACATACTGAATCAACAAAGAAACGAGGGTCTCAATTGGCGAACTTTATCTGACCTGTAATTTTCAGGGTCGAAGGGTTCAGATATGTTGGTTACTGACATCAGCCCGAGGAAGTCCTGGGCGATGAGCAGCGTCCGTATCTGCACCGCCGTCAGCGCCACCGCCACTCCAAGCAGTAGCGCCAACAGGTATGTCATATTCGTCTGGTTCATGCGGAGAAAGTAGCGCTGGTACAGCATTTCCACCTGCACAGAAATATACAACATTTAGTATAACTAAAAAATAACTAATTAAAGTAACTTTTATCATTATTATTTATTATTAATAAAGTATTCATGTATATAGGAGGCAGATACTGTTTACCAGACGTTCTGGTATATAGAAAACACCAGACTAATACTGTTTGTATTATGATACTCATGAATAAAGTTTGCATCCTACGAGGAATCGAATACGTGACCATCGGAAGTAAAGCAATGTTAAGTACATTGCCAACACCACTGAAGCTGTTGGTTACGAAGAAAAATAATCATATAATCACCACAAAGAAGTTCAGTTACGTGGTATGTGTGTCCTTTAGTACAATAAAAGTTGTATTTAGACAATGAACTGAGCTGGGCTCGTAAAATACATAGAGAGGTTTATTTCCAACACCACCAAGTTTTTCTTTAGAAGAGTTCTAACAATAAGTCATAAATAGCTGTTACAACTTGGCCACATCTTGCTATATTATTAGTTCGGAGGGAAAGTATTGAATTTTGGCCGGACGGGTCTTTGTATCTATTACTATTCAAGTCAGGAATCGGCACTTCTTATGCTGTTTACCTGTTTTTCTAAATGGCGTTTACGCAAACACGCACGTTTAAGTTGGGAAGATCTAATGGAAGGCGGTAAGGGAATGATGGATTGTATATCGTTGTAAAATTTTTATTTTGTAACTTTCACTCCATTTGACCTGGTTATCATGTTTTGTTACAATTAAGCAAGGAAATTGATGGAAATGGGGTTTCAGGAATATCTATATCTAAATATATATAACTCAAAGGTGACTGACATAGTGATTTATCAATGCACAGCCCAAATTACTGGACTGATCGGGGTGAAATTTGGCATATAGGTAGATGTTATGACGGCGTCCGCTAATAAAGGATTTTAATTAATTCTACCCACAAGGGGATAAAATAGGGGATGAAAGTTTGTATGAAACTTCGTCAATTTTAAACCGATCGGGCTGAGATTTTGCATGCATAAAGCTACTATGACGTAGGCATCTTCTAAGAAAGGATTTTGATAAATTCTACCCCTAAAGGGATAATTTAACGCGAGCGTAGCCGCGAACAAAAGCTAGTCTCATTATAAAAGTATGAATGCAAAGCTTATGCATATATTGATAAAGATTATCATCTCGTTGGAACATTTTATTTTTTTGCCAATATTATTTATCAGCAACTTTTATTTATTTATTATAACAGCATAACAGTAAATCCTAATTTATTTGTAAGTTAGTACAATGCATATAATATTCATGAATTATATTGATATAAGTAATATATCAATTTGCTTTCAGAAGATCAAGATGTTTCTTAAGTCTAAAAACAGTAACATAATATTTGTAATAATATACATTTCAGAATTTATTATAATTTTACCTATAACAGTTTTATGTACCTGGATGAACATTTAATTCTAATATTTCTGAGACCCCAAGGATAAAAATTAAAAGTTTGATTTTACGTATAATTTTATTAGTTATTTATTAAACGTATATTTAAGTTGAGTTTTTGTTAGTTATGGTTTATATACTTAAATGACCTTATATAGTAATAACATATCGGAATGAGGCACATAAAACTCTAACATATATAAATATCTTAATTGCACTGGTATAGTGCAATGCAGTACCATTACTACCGCGTATGGAGCACTTTGGAATGCTTAGATACCAGATAAGAGATAAAATACTCTAAAGCAAGTATTACCCATTACTATTTATAAATTGTTTCCATTATAATTATTTCTTATGTACGTTAGTCTATAAGGTATGCATAATATGGGCCTTGTAATCTGAATTAAATTAAAATAAAATATTAATAATTTTTTTTATAAGTATTTTCTTTTAGTTATAGTTTTTGAAACTAACTAACTTATTAATGCAATAGTAATTATAGACAATTAAAACAAATTCTTCAATCCGATTTTTTTAAAATAATCGTAGAGTTGCGTTAATAGCTATATTTTAGCGAAGTTGCCCACGACCTCATGGGTATCTGCTAGTATACTGTATAATTGTATAGTATACTAGATGTTCACCAGGTCTAAATGTCAATAAAAAATATAGCCCATGTTATTATTATGATAAGCTATATTACTGTAAAGTTATATCAAAATCCGTTCACTAGTTTTTGCATGAAAAAATAAAACATCCATACTTACAAACTTTCGTATTTATAATATTACTAGCATTTACCGCGGCTTCGAATCAAAAATATATTTTTTTAAGTAACAAGTATCCTAATTCATTCTAATACCTCTAAGAAAAAGCGTACAAAATTTCATGATGATCGGTACAGTAGTATTTGCGTTAAAGCGTAACGAACATCCCCAGTTTTATATTTGAAATATTATTAAGAATTAGGATATAAAATATAATAAGCATAGTGCTAAGTTCTTGTTTTAGTCTATACAATTTTCCCTTTCGGCTATCGTATTGATTACGTTCAGCTTCTTAAATACTAAAAGAGATCGTTCAGTTGGATAAATCCGACATTGTGTATTAAATCTTCTATCTAGACGCAAATTAAACTGAGCTTGTGCTTATTAATATGTATTAGTTCTCTAGTACCTATTAATAGAGAAGTCTATTACTATTACTACATATTAATAATTCATATTAGAAAATTATAAAGAAAATATATATATAAGAAATATGTATATACATTTTTATTATAATTGCAGCCTATTTGATATCAAGCAAATGATTCTATTGTGCGCTGATCGAATCCGCCACCATCGAAGAAAGCAGAAATTTATAGCCTATGTATTGTTCTGATATATAATCTATATGACTGTAAAGTTTTATCAAAATCCGTTCAGTAGTTAAGGAGTGAAAAAGTAACATATATCCATCCGTCCCTCTATCCATTCTTACTCAAAAACTTTCGCGTTTATAATATAATAAGTTTAATAATACATTTATATTTACGTAACAAGAAGTTACCTTCAGTACTTGTATTATAGAGGAAATAAATTGAAATCCATATTGGTAATTTCTAAGAAAGGAACATAACGGCTTTACCCCATACGGAATGTGTTATCACCCGCGCTGGTAGGAATTTCCAATAACCCTTTCACAGTAATAAGTTTTCAGTATACACACTACATCGGGAAATCGAAAAATCTCGAATTTCTTGACAAATTGGTTTGACTGTACGTTAAAACATCAATCAGGTATTACTTTTCTTTTTACGTACAGAAAATGGAAATGTTTTTTCATAGACACTTATTTTTAAGTATTTGTATAATATGTTATATTCTACCGCGATATTCACAGCAGAAGAAAATGAAAAAAAACGTCTAGTATAAGGTACTGTTTTTTCTAAATAAAAAACTACAAATGTATGGGTGGTAAAGAAAAAAGTTGATATGATAATTAACTACTTATTTTTTGTACGTCAATTCGACCGACGATGTTTGTGAAAATCATTTATTAAGAGACATTTAAATAATTGTCAGCACCATGACCTGCAGACATTTGTTTATCAATTATATTGTATAGAAGTGCTTTCACGTTACCGCCAACCAACCCAACACCAACCCAGGACAGGCAAGGGGGTCCAATGTCGCGTCGGTTTTCAATTAGCCTATTCACGGGTCACGAGGGATGCATACCGTTTACCCGTGTAAATTCCGTCATGGATTATCTTGGGGAAATGTAGTTCAGAATTTATGTTCCACTACAGTATTTTATTTGATAGTCTCGGTGGTTTAGCTGTTTAGCATACCGTTTCACTTTCGATGATAGTAAGTTCCATTCCACGCACGGCGCAAACTTTTGTATTCACGAGTATGGTTATTTGTATCGATCTGAGTGTTTAGGTTTATATTATGATAGTATTTACAATACAAATTTACAAGATATTTATATCTCTTATGTAGTACTCATAATAAAAATTTTGCATAATAGTAATAATACTCGTAGTATTAAGTTATTTCACATTATTGATTAAAATGGTAAATAAGCGTTTGTTTGATTTGAAACCATATGGTAACTGAAACCTATAAACATGAATGCACTACGGGTATAACGTTATCATGGAACGCCCATTCGTGCTTTGTTATTTAAAGATGTCTTACATCCGTACCTTGTAATTACACTCTTTAACCTAAACGCACCTTACAAAGCAACATGCTGAGCGACTGAAGTTGGTCAGACAAAGATACCCATGTAAACTTTTTGTGCAAACTCCACCTAGGACATAATGTCAATGATAACTGTATATTTATATTAGTGTATACAGTTTATATATGTAATATGTTATGTTATTCATTATTATTAATTTGTCATTATTATTATTATGTTTTTTTCTCTTCTATTCTAGTGCCACCTCCCACTTTTGAATTTTCTCCTCTACCCAAAGGAGACAACCTTTGGGTAGAAAATTGAGGGAAGAGATTGCATAAGCGATATGGCCGCCTTTTGTACCCTCTTAACTTTAATTACTCTATTACTGTAATTTTCCTGGTGCAATAAAGAGTATATAAATAAATAATAAATAACTGTGACTCATTAATTATAATTACATTACATATTATTACGTACTCGTATATATGAACCATGATAGCATGCCGACCTCTTTATTTTAATCCGACTCTGTCTTTAAAACCAACTCGTAAACAGATATTGTTAGCGACTTTGTGTTAGAAACGTCTGTAAATATTGTTACAACCCCTATTTATTGAATTAAACCTAGTATTGCAGCTATTAATTTTTTGAGTTATATGTATATCTTAAGTATTTATTCTTTAATATTACGTTAAATAAAGTTGATGTAGTACTCGAATTCTAACTGAATTTATCCCACTGTGATAGCATTTTTTATATAATTCTTGCTATATTATACAGGTAGGGAGATAAATATGAAGTAACACTTCTACATATATTCTCAGTTGCAGTATAGTAAATACCCTATTGTCTACATGTTTATACTTCAATATATATTATTACCCACTAATATTAAAATTGTGA